GTCTCGGAGTTGCAGATGTACCTGAGTTACGACTTCACCAAAGGCATGGACGACGATGAGATAAACAGCCTCGACCTCCTTGCATGGTGGAAACAACAAAGCTCGAAGCATCCAACTTTGGCGGCAATGGCACGAGACATTCTTGCTATCCAAGTTTCCTCCGTCGCCTCCGAACAAGCTTTCAGCGCATCCGGAAGGGTTTTAGACGATAGAAGAACAAGTCTAAAACCCGAAACACTAGAAATGTGCGTGTGTTTCAAAGATTGGTTGGATGCGGAAAATCGCTCACAAGACCGTTCTTACGACCACAACGACAACGAAGAAGGAACCTCCGCTTCCGGTTCGGGTTCGGCTAGTTCCCAATCTATGCAACTAGCCGATGACCTTGAAGGCGAAGGCGAAGACGAAGACGAGCAAGAAGAAGGAGAAGAAGAATAGACAATTATTGTATATTGTACGATTTTAAAAATATCAATTTTATCATTTTCCAATTTTTGTTTAATACCATCATTGTATGATTTTTATCATTGTTATCATTGTACAATTTTCTCAACTCAAGTAATAATAATATAAAGTACGCATTATTCACATCCAAAGTCCAATTTGCCTTTTTTTCCCCGTTTTGTTACAATTTGTAAATTCATATTAAAAAAAAAATAAAATTATACCAATTACTAATAAATCATAAACATTAAATTTTAAAGTAATAGTATAAAGTAAATATATAAATATAAATATTGAATATACAAATTATAAAACATAAATATTCAACTTATAATTATAAAATTCATAACTTAATAACTTATAACTTATAAGTTATAAACTTATAAGTTACCTTATAAAACTTATAATTATAATTTTATAACTTATATACATTATAAACTTATTAATTAATAATGTTGTCATTAAAAAAAAAAAAAAAAAAAAAAAATGAAAACTACACCAGCCCGCGCAGGCCAGCCCGCAGCCCGGCACGTGGCCGGCACGGCACGAGCCCGCCAGGCACGAGGGCCGTGCCGTGCCGTGGGCTGGCCTGTGAAAATGACCGGCACGGCACGGCACGAAATCCTGGGCCCGCCGGCACGACCGGCACGGCACGAACCAGCCCGCGGCCCGCCAGGCACGGCCCGCGGCGGCCCGGCACGGCACGGTGCCCAGGATTAATGCCTAGTTGCTGCAATGGCAGACCGACAGTGACACTGGCTTGAAGGTGGCTAAGGGGTGGCTGGAAGGTGGCAGAACCTCACTAACGGAAAGTTAAACAGAAGTTGGACGAAGGTATCAAAACCTAATTTTGAAATTTGATAGGTATCAAAATAAAAATAATAATAATAAGGGAAATTCTCTCTGGTAATCACGAACTTTTGTTTTTTCTTAGTGGTAAAGCCTAAAAATTTTGATTATCAATGGTAATCACAAATTAATATTTTTAAACTAATGGTAACTTAAGTTAAACAAATTGTTAATTTCTTTACCATGGTTTAGCTATTGGACAGTAAAAAGACAGAATTACCCTTATGTCTTTCCTCCTCCATCTTCTTCCTTTCTCAGCTCTTTCCACCTCCATCTTCTTCCATTAAAGCCACCACCACCATTGTTAAACTGCTGTTAAGGTCGGAAAAAAGAGGGCGGCGGCAGCACCAAATGCAGCGGCAGCAACAAATTCAACAAATTAGACCCCGAATTCAACAAAATCCCGACAAATTCGACTCAAAACCAACAAATTAAATCCCAAAATCAACAAAATCGACCACTAATTCGACCTTAAATCAACATATTTAACCAAATCGACTCCAAAAATTAACAAATTCGACCTTTAAAGTAGCAATTCGACCCCCAAAATCAACAAATTTGACCCATAAATCGACAAATTCGACTCCAAAAATCGACAAATTCGACCCCAAATCAACAAATTCGATCACAAAACCAACAAGTTTGACCCAAAAACCAACAAATTCGAACCCAAAACCAACAAATTCGACCCTAAAATCAACAATTTCGATAAATTCGACCCCCAAAATCAACTAATTCGACCCCAAAATCACCAAAAATAACCTTGAAATTTCAACCCAAATTCGGGAAACGAGACGGAATCGGGGAAGGGAGGAGGGTGGTTGATTCTGGCAAGGAAGGATGGCTGATTTTCGCGTCCCCGAGAAGCGGTTTTAATTTGGTGGTGATGATAGGAGAGAGAGGGTGAGTCGGGAATAAGGGAGGGGAACTCGTTTTGGGATTGGAGTGTTGTTAGTGGGGGTCTCCGGCGGGGTAAAGGGTTGAGACGCGTCAGGCGCACCAAGCTGAAGGCCGGCAAAGGGAGGAGGGCTGGTGGTTGGCTGGTGGTCGGGGAGGGGTTTGTATTTTTTGTTTTTATTTTGTTTAAAAAAAATATTTTGAAGGGTATTAATGTAAATCTATTGTTACTTAACCTAAGATTATCCCTGGTTAATTGTTTAATGATGTTTTAATATCATTAATGTTACCATTAGCTTAATTTTATTAATTCGTGATTACCATTGATAATCAAAAGTTTCAGGTTTTACCACTGAGAAAATAATAAAGTTCGTGATTACCAGAGAGAATTTCCCTAATAATAAACTAGAAGGGGATCGGACCAAAAGTCAAAATGTCCCATTTTTTATGTTCCAAAAGTCAATTTTTTCTTATTTTTACCGAATATTATTTTTTAAGTTGAAGTGAACAGAATCTGAGTGTTATGTTGAGAAAAAAAAAATTATTTCTATTTTAATACTCCGTATAAGATTGTCTTACTTTATCACATTCTAAGAATCATTCATTTATATTTCTTTCAAAAAAAATATTCCTTCATTTATGCTAAATAAAAATCTTTAATTTCCTATTTTATATTATTGTGTCTTTATTTCTTTTTTTTTTCATTCTCTTATATCTGCCAACTCATCATCATTGTATGACACATCATTAGCCACATGGATTTATGATAACTTTTTTTTTTTCTTTTTTTGTCATAAGTCGCAACATTTAGCATTTTCGGTGTAGCAATTTATTTTTTAAGAGAAATTGTAATTGTAAGACCCTTTTCACTTCACCTTACAAAATCAGTTAAAATAAGCTCAATTTAGTAAAAAATAATTTAATTTCAGTAAAAAAAAAAAAATATAGTTTCAATTCTACTGTAAAAATAAATTCAAAGTCCAATAAAAATAATCTAAATTCAATAAAAATGTAACACTCCTTATGATTGCTGTAAAATAATTTTTTATACTACTCATACCAACAAGATGCATCTTTCTTTTGGGGAGCTCATATGCTAAGATATTTCTCAGTTAAGCGTGCTTAGCTGAGAGTTGTGTGGAGAAAGTGATAAAATACAAATGGAGTAATAGTAAATCAGTTAAAATAATTTAAGTTCACAAAAATAATATTTGTTCAGTAAATTAATTTCAATTATGCAAAAATAATTTCAATTCAATAAAAATAATGTGAAGTGCATAGGGCCTAAGTTTCACAAAATTCTACTTTTTAACTATTTAAATTTCAGTTGAGCCAAGCCAAAAATATTACTAATATTTAAAAAAAAAAAAAATTAAAAAGAGAAGGACTTTATTGAACTATCACCTCTCACAACTCACAAGTAAATCAGCTAGTCCAATTACACAAATTAACTTTTTGAAAGTAAATAGATGGTTGAGTAAGATCGAGAATCTCTATAATCGTTCTTAGACTAACATATGTAAAAGGTAGGAGTTAAACTAATGATCCATTAAAAAAAAAAGAAGATAAATTCAAAGTCACAAAAATGAATTTCCCACCATTTCCACCAAACAAGTTTGGTTAAGCACTTAAGCATCACCAATACTAGATATCTCAACTCTAATCTCAAGCATGGTTATTGATAGCACATACCATAAATATTTGTATGTGAAATAAATAAAAACTTTCACATTCTGAGACCTCTGTGTGCAGTGGCCCCCAAGCGAGGTTCGAGCCTCATCGACTCAGGTCACCATGAACAAATCCCCCCTTATACCCAGGCGACGCCAACAGGTGTATGTCCAGTCATAAGAGCATTCAATCGAGACTCAGTTAACCTTTCCATATAAAAAATACTCCGTCCGTCCCTAAATTACATTCCTCCTTTCTATTTTTGGTATTCCAAAATTACATTCCTCCTTTCTATTTTTGGTAAGTTTTTTTTAAGTAAATCAACTCTCTTTTTCTGTTTTATATTTAATGCTTTCTCAATCATCCTTACCTAATCTCACTCATAATCCTTGTGCCAAATTACAATGAATATGATTGGTTAAAAATTTTCAATTAGGAGCATGCGATTGGTCCTTTTTTTTTTTTTTTTTTTTGCAAAGGATTGATGACATGTCATGAGTAATAACTAATCTATCTTTGTACTTCCCATTGCATTATCTAATTATTGTTATTTGTCTTATTCTTTCCTCCTTAATTCCCGTGTAAATTTCCAAAGAGAAATGTAATTTAGGGACGGAGGGAGTAATCATATACATGTTATTTTCTAATTTTTTCACATCACACTCTTATTATTAATAGTCAACTAGTCATTTTTTTGGTTAAATTCTAAAGTATAGTTGGCACCTCATTAACATGAGCAACATCTACATCTACATCTACATCTACATCTACAAGCCCTACTTCTACAATATCACACTCATATTAGTAGTCATATACTTTGTAGATATTAACAAGAGTGTAATATACAAAGTCAACAATATATATCACACTCATATAGTCATATTAGTAGTCATATACTTTGTAGATATTAACATGGGCCTGTTCATATTTACTGAACTGAGCTGAACTGAACTGATTGGAGCTGAACTGAACTAAACTGAACTGATTGGAACTGAACTGAACTAAGCTGAAATGAATATTTTATGAGAGAGGGAAATTAAGAGCTGAACTGAACTGAACTGAACTCATTGGAGCTGAGCTGAACTGAACTGAACTCATTGAAGCTGAGCTGAACTGAACTGAAAATAAGTAAATATGAACAGACCCTAATATACAAAGTATATGCGGTGTGTATATCAAGTAGCTCATTTTCACAATAAAAAAAGACCAATGATCTTTGCAATTGCCAATAAATACGGAGTACAAATCATATAAATTTGATATGATTAAAAAATTACACATTAATTCTATTCTAATGATTTGAACAAAGTTAAATACTTTAAATAGGTAATAAAATGTAATTAAAAAAATTTTAAAAAAATAAAAAACAGTGAGAGCAACATGAATAAAAATAAATTTAAAAAATCCAAAACAGAAAAATAAAAGTTGGAGCCCCACAATAACTGATAAAACTAACCCTTATTTTTATGGGTTACGCAACCCTTGTCTAGTTTCTTCTTCCATAATTGCGCACGAGTAATTCAAGCTAAGAGTACGTGTTCCAAAATCATGCCATTCAAAATCAGCTCATTAATAGCCTCAAACTCAAAAAAATCTCTTCCTCTTTCATTACATTGTATGTTAACGTTTTTCTACCTTGGAGTTTTTGAACCTGACATCAAAAAATTAGTAACACTAATTAATTATTGTCTAATCCTAAAACTATACCATATCAACTAATGAATTAATTAAATTACCAAGTATACAATATCTTATGATAAAGTAAGGAAACAATTATGGACCGTCAATCAAAGAATGTATGTAGAGTTGTAGACTAATCACAAAATCATCTTCTAATGGCAAATAAAGTTAAACCTGACTTTTTCTTTATCTTAAAAGATCCCCATTTTGGGGTTCACTCGCAACCATTATGACTGTTATGATGATCAACTCCGTCGTCAATTTGATCGTCGTCATCCTCGTAGTCTTCGTCATCATCGTCGAGCCCGTCGTCGTCGGTCGTCAAGGGAACTAGGCAACAAGCTCCGTACATGTGACCATTTATACAAACAAAATACTCTAACCCACCTTGGTGCGTACCTAGTCGTTTAGCAGCCGTTTTCGGGACTAATTTAGCCGATGTCATACTCCAAACTCGTGCACCACAATAAGGGCAACGAACTTGTTCCTCGAGTTGTACTTGTCTTCCTATTAAACAAGCTCGAGTTTTCGACCTCATAAACCCCCGAAAAACACCTCTATATATCCCCAAATCGTCCTCCCCTTCACCCATAGGGTGCTCGCAGGGATCGCTAACGTATAGCAGATCCCCGCGGCATCTCTTCGTCAAGAAACTGAGGCCCGATGTTTTTGAAAATCGGGCCTCCTTGACAAAGTGGCCTGGTAGAGACACTTTGAGTTTGAGGGTCGAGGTGGGTTGGCACCCGCAACAGAAGAACATGAGCTTTGCTAGCGCGTGCCAACCACCCCCGATCCTTGACCCAGGTAGCCCGTGGCTTAGGCCCGCCACCATACGTGGGGCCCGGTAGCTACACATGGCCCGCCACAATATCCTCTTCGCCACGGCCCGAAACTTCCGGCTGACCCGAGCCGTGGCGCATACCGTCTTCAAATCCCATTTTATGTACCCGAACACGAGCAACAAGATCTCTTCATTAAGGATCCTTGACTCAGGGGCCACCGGTTCCGAATCCGATTCATGACCCGTCGGGCCGGTGTTGGCCCGTTTATTGGCCAAATTCATATCTTGAGTTGGTGGGAAAAAGGGTTGCATAGTTGCGTGGTTTAAGTTGGACAAGACCTTTGTGTTAGTGTTACTAAAGACTATAAATACACAAAATCAAGATTAATGGCTTGAACATGCCACGTGTATGTCTCCCATTGGCAGACAAGGTGCTTTGTGTTTAAGGTGCATGTAACTCAACACGTGTTGAGCACCCATTTGGCGTAATGCCACGTGTTATCATAGGAAAATGAAATGCCTTATCACTTGATCATAGAAGTGACATATGAAGCCAAATATTTTCGTACAATAAAATGTCAATCTGGACACGTGTCCATCTAGGTCATAAAATTTGATGATATCTTCCAAAAATATCCTAATTAGACACTACAAAATATCTTTCCTGATGCTTAGGTAATGTACTAATTACCCAATTAAGAAATAATCTCCCCATATCAACAAATGAAAACGCACCACGTATAAAGATCAATGAAGATATTTAGCAACAAATTTTATATTATTAATTATTTATTTATTTTTCGAAAATTGAGTTGGTCACATGGATTTAATAAAATGGGAGAATAAAAAAAAGATTGCATAAGATATGGGTTTGCTAAAAACAGGGAGGAGTTGTTCTACTTGATAGGAGTAAAATATAATGACATAAATAAATGGGAAAGTTTTCTGAAAAGGGAGCCAATGATGAGGGTTTATAAAATGGTGAGATGATTAAATTAAGGAAAAATAGTTGCCTTATTAGTGAAGGGAGCCAAAGTGGAAGAAACCTTTGAATAACATGAGAGGATAGTCACTTCCCCCAAAAGGTAAGACCACATGCTACCATGTGATCTCAATTTAGTAGATTAATAAACAAATTGAGTCAAGTTTACCGATTTTGGAAAGAACCAACATTTTATATTTTTAGGTTACTTTATCGTTAGTTATTTACTCCATAATATGCAGTAGATTTTTTATTTTGTTGTTGAAAGAAGTCCTAATGGACACTAAATTTCATTAATATAAGTCATACGATATCTACAACTGACAATGAACGATAATGAAAACGAATTTAAAAAAATCAAACAAAAATTAATCGGGGAAGGGCTAAGAATCCAAATACATAAATATAATAATTTGGCATATTCTCGATTCGTTGACTCATACAATTCGGCAATAGGAAATAAGTTTTGATAATATAAGTTCAAAATATATAAGGTTTTCAAGTGTATTTTGTGATTTATTTCAAAAAAAAAAAATGTATTTTGTGATTTATACTTCTTTTATTTCGAGTTAAATACAATATTTTAATTTTTATATCGGTCAATAAGTGACCTGAGCGATTTCGATCACCTAGCAGGCTTTTTATTTAGTAGGTAACATCGCCGAAGCGTATTATCAGATTTGGCTACGAACGATGATTGAGAGGGCACCGTCTTGTGCAACGCAACGATAGTTGGCCCTCTATCATCTTCTATCTGGTAGACTTGGTAAAAGGGCCCTTACTTTTTCCAGAATTAGAGTTCGACCACAGCCGCCCCCCTTTTTGGGGGAGGATCCAGTTCCTTGCCAACTATCGACCCCGATCTCTTTTCATTTGTTTTGGATATTTCCAAACCTAGCCTTCGTCAATCACACTAAAGCAGAGCACCCAACTATGGCAAGGCCTCCTTAAGGGTTAGGTTAGTAAATCCGGCTCGAGACGCGTTCGTTGACAAAACCGCCGTAGGAATGGAGACCTTTCAATAGAACAAAGGCGAACTGATCAACGAGAAAGAGGCCCTACTCACTACAAAGGAATACACTAAAAGATCGGAACTGCACTCATGCCTTTTCCGCATCAAGTTGACCGCTCCCCCCGCCCCCTACGTAGTGATTCTATCAATCATGTACGTGGGTAGGACCCTCCATTCCGCTTGGTATATCATGAGAAAAGAAAGCCATTTGCACCAGGCGCACCGCGCTTTCCCTTTCTCAGATGTTCGCCTTTCTAAGTCAAGTAATGGTGACCCGCCGAAGACTTACTTTCGAACTGAGGGTTCGGTTCGGTCAGTAGAGGGGACGACTTTGCCTACAATAGCCCCGCTCTCTAACCGACTGATCCCGTTGATCATATAACTGGGAGGGAACGTGTCATATTAGGGGTGAACGATCAGAGGTCTCCTCTAATATGACACGATGAGGCTGCTTTCTCTTTTAGTAGACTCAGCTATTTATATGAATGAAGAAATGAATGCCGGGCTCTTTCTTTCACTGCTAACCTCATTTTCTTAATTTAATGCTTCCATTTTTTCTTTCGTCGAGCCCCGAGCTTGTGGTCCTCCTTTGAGTGTGGGTTCAATTGGATGAATTTTTCAAGTAAAGGTCAACGTACATAGCAGCAAGGATGGTGCATCGCCTATTTCTTGTTCTCGCTCGGGAGCCAAAACGAACACGCCTGCCACCTACTTTGGACCTTCGACCAGGCATTCTGCCCTTGTCAAATCGGAACCAACTACCACTGCATTGCGCTCGAACAGTTGAGCGGCCGCCGACCAGCAACTTCCGTGCACAGATATAGATTCATTAAAAAGAAAGGTCCTAGAGGGAAGTTATGAGCATTACGTTCATGCATAACTTCCATACCAAGGTTAGCACGGTTAATGATATCAGCCCAAGTATGGACAGAAGGAGCTGCTATTGAATGCAAAGTAACTGTCATGCTTATCCGGTCTTAGCATCTTAGCATATGGCATTACCTCCAGGCGGAAGCCGGACTCCTCTTGAAGAATCAGCTCAACTTAAAAACAGTTTCGGGACTTGTCCAACAGCGAGTCCCGAAGGTGGGGACTGATTATGAGATCATCAGTGATATGAAAATAGAACTGGGTCCGGATCATCCCCTCGTCCAGTTTGTTCGAAAAGAATCATTAATCATATAATATATATAAGATATAAGAGGGGAAGAATCGACAAAGAATGACGAACATAAAACCGTGAATGAAAAAGCGTTAGGAGAATGATCGACTCTGTTATGTTAGAAGGTGCAAAATCAACGGGTGCCGGAGCTGCTTCCAATTGCTCGGAAATTCTCAGTTATATGGGGGGCTTAGATAGTGAGCAAAAACAATTGATCAAGAAATTGGTCAACTTTCACATGAAAGTTGGTAAAAGAACGAAGGTTCGTGCTATTGTTTATAAAACTTTTCATCACCCAGCTCGAACTGAAGGCGATGTAATCAAACTTATGGTTGACGCCGTAGAGAATATAAAGCCTATATGCAAAGTAGAAAAAGTAAGAGTAGCAGGTACTATTTATGATGTCCCCGGGATTGTAGCCAGGGATCGTCAACAAACCTTAGCTATTCGTTGGATCCTTGAAGCAGCTTTCAAACGACGTATATCCTACAGGATAAGCTTAGAGAAATGTTCATTTGATGAGATACTGGATGCTTACCGAAAGAGGGGAATTTCGCGTAAGAAAAGGGAGAATCTTCATGGACTGGCTTCCGCCAATCGAAGTTTCGCGCATTTCAGATGGTGGTAAAGTGAAACTACATAAGGAGCTCTTCCTCATTCATTCAGATTATTCAGTAAGATATGCTTTGACCATTTTGCTTTTTGTATGAATATTTATATAGAAAGAATTCCTTATACTCTTTTCTTCATTGGGTTGGAGGAATCCATAGGAAAAAAATGACCTTATGTATGAAAGTTTTTTCCAGAGTTAGATGTGGCCTCTCATTCCTTAGGGAGTGAGAGGGTAAGGGAGAGAGGGTGGGTGGCCCCTTACGCGCTTTTTTAGTAGGAGTTCAATGTAGTCGGATGGAACGGAAGCGTATATAGGAAACGAATCGGGCATCTATGGAAAGAATAAACCTTCTGCGTTGTCTAGTAAGCTGCCATTTTCATATAAAAAAAAAAGAAAAAAATGGAATAGGGAATCACTCGGAGTCTGAATAAGATCAGCAGGAAACGCAATGATAGGGCGCCTCAAACAGAGGCAGTGTTGCAAAAAAAAGATCTTTTTTCTTCTTCAGTTAGTACAAATTCGGTCGATATCGACAATCCAGTTCCGCGGGAAGGAGGCCTAGAAAAGGTCAGCAGGCAAATAAAAAAAACCTGCCTTTTTCTTTGTGTTTTGGCCTCCAAACAAAGTTCTTATCACTATCGGGCTTATCCCTTTGTATTTGATTAGCAGCAATGAGATAGGTTGATTTTGACTCAAAGTTACCATATGCATCCAGGCCTACCTATCAGGTTTGTGAAAGGCTAACAAGCAAAGCATATCTTTTGAATAAGGCTGCTTTTGCCACTGTTCGTGTAGACTTCCTTGTGGTTCCATCAAACTGAACTGGGTCTAAGGCTATAATCTCTTCAATTCAACGGTTGAACTCAGGGCTCAATAGCCCTTTTTCGGTCTTTTAAGCAGGGTTGAATTCATCTGTTGAGAGAACCCGTTGTGGAATTCGCTTCTAGTCTTTTTCCACTTCCAAACCTATCCAAGGATTCGACCTCAAGCGCTTATTCTTAGGCCTATGACATCTTACTTAGGTAGCAGCCATACAATACCGATGAAATGCAGGACCGAAGGTATTAACAGGCGGAAAACTTCAAAATTCTGCTAGCTTCTCCGCAAAGACTTCCATCTGCCGAAAGACGTGGATTCAGCATTCAATCCATATCAAAAGTCCGGTTGATCCAGCTATTGAACACTCTATCAAGCTTTTCTCGTACTTGCGCGGATGCAAGCTTGATCGGGGAATCCGTGGCGTGGTAGCTTCTTTCTGTTCCAAATGCAGCTGCTCATGAATGTGAATGAGTTTGATAAGAGAAAGAGTAGACGTCGAATTGAGAGTTTATTCCTATATCCCCGATCGGGCTTAGATTAGAGCATTTCATTTCACCCGTCCTGGTCGAGAAGAAATGCGAAAGGAAAGGAAGGAGGCGCTACTTAAAGAAAATCCCTAGCCACTCTGTTAAGTGAAGGCTTATTTGCAGGGCCAAACCCAATGCAAGTATGCAATAGATTTCTTGTCAAAAGCTGGTCTTTCTGCATGCAAACTGGAACAAGATCTAAGCCTTA